AATATGCGTATGTGTTCCAAGTTCTTTTTGAATAAGAAGCTTATTTAAACCTTTATTTAAATTTATTATCTGGTTTTTAGTTATTTTCAGACATAGTGATAATTTGTTTCGCGTTTGTCGGGGAGGAGGGGGTCGGACTATTTAACTTTTACCAGATCAAGTAAACCCTCATAGGTAGTACATTGTGGAGAGGTTGGCAGTTAGGAAATAAAACACACAGAAACTAATGAGAACATTGTTCTACATATTGAGACAAATTTCTAATTGTTAGAAAACATTCTTAAGGAGAAGGAAATCGATATAAATTAGCCAAAATGTCTGGACAGACCTTCAAATTAAAAAGACGCATAATTATTTTGTTGAGTTTTATGTTTTGTAGCTTTTAATGTGTAATTATCCTAATATTGTTTAAAAATCAATGTCATAAATTGCATGTATTTTAAACTGTGAAATTCTATGAGATTGTGATATTAATAGGGTTTTTAACAAATATTATTAAAAAATAAATTTAATTTAATAGGGGCCATGTAAATCCATAATGACTAAGGTTATCTAATACCTAATTTAATTATAACTAAATGCATTCCCTTAAAAATTATCTCTCTATATTAAAGCAAGTTATTGCCTTCTGTTAACGCGCTGAGCCCGGCGTCGGTCCCCTGGAACCGGACTAGAACTTTCGTTTGGCTGGCGTCCATCCGCGGGACGACAGTATTAAAGTTAAAAAATTAATGTAGTTTTAATGAAATTTATTGAAAATTAAAGACAAAAATACAAAACATTCTTAACAAAAATACGGCTTAGCTTTACACATATTACAATACGAAACAACTATTTTGGTAACATTTTTGGCTGTCTTGCATCCAAAAAGTTTTGAATTGTCATCATAACATTTTGAACAATACTTTCGGACTTTATGTGCATCTCCTTCCATTTTGTATAATTTAAGTCGGTAATAATTTAATTCAGCCGTCATCGCTTGATCGCTCGCTGCCGGCTGAACGGAAAGGACAGAAAATTCAGCGCCGGGCTCAACGTGTTAACCGTTACCGTGGTCACAAGGTAAAACACAAAAATATTAAAATTCATGTGAAACTTATTCTTTGCATCTACTGAGACTTAAAACAGCTTATCACCACTAATGCTTTAGTGATTCAACCTTAAAGTATATTAACTGAGTTACAACCCCTGGAACTCTACATGAAGCTATCACACTAACAGCGTCAGACAGAGGTCAGCTAACTTTCAAAACTTGCTTAACTGTGCCTACATCAGGCCTTTCAGGTTTGTTCTGATCAGCAGGTTTCTCTATAGGCAAGCAGGAATGGTGACAGCAGCCAGTCTTTTGTTATTAATCATGCTGATTATGATTTTAATGCTCATTTTAACCTATGCTGCTTGACATAAAATCTACTTGCTATTTACTAAACCTCTAGACTGAGCAAGTATGTGACAAAATCAGACATTGAAAAAAAAAAAGCTAATTATTAGTAAAACGTAACTAAAATGTCACTTATCTTCTTTCAAAGATATCCAGTTATTATAAGTGTAAAATATTTGATGCTACTTGATAAATTTCATAAAATTAATTTTATTCTCAAATGTATTAATAATTATGTTAATTAAGTTATGTTTAATAATATAGCATCCTACTCACATTCAGGCATACATATAATATTTTTAATTGAATTTACTCAGTTCCCATTTGTTCATAGGTCCTTAATTTGTTTCATTAATGGTCCTTAAAAGTACTTAATTTCCGTGTGCAGAAATGTGTACGAACTCTGTTTGTCTCGTATGCTCTTAGGCCATGACCTTCGTCTGCCTTGTGATCTCTTGTTTGGTTACCTTCTGGAAATGCCTTCATAACCTGAGGAGTACATTCAAGATCGTCGGGTATAGTTTGAAGCAATGCATAATTTTGCGCCAGAGAGAATCAGCTTGGCAACGGAGAAGATGAAGACCCAATATGACACATAAACTACAAAACATCATTTCAGTGAAGGTTATAATGTGTGGTTATGGAATTTGATTCAACAAAAAGGACTCTTTCCTAAACTACAGTTACTTTGGGTTGGTCCCCACACAGTTTTAAGCAGGTTGAATGACGTTGTATTTCGGCTTCGTTAAGTCATTAAATTCTAAGCCTAAAGTTATTCATTACAACAATGTAGCCCCTTTACTGGGGCTATAGTACATAGTCCCCCATAGTGTATATTGAGACAATGGTCCTATTTATACATAAATTTGTAAATTTATGAATTTATTTGTTGACTTAGTATTTGATTTGTTATTTATTGAAATTATTGTGTTAGTATTGCACTGATTTTCCTTAGATGTGAGTTTGACTGCCTGTCCGTGGATTGTACTACCTGGGACATCCAGTCTTTGGGAAGGGGGAGAATATTAGGAATTTTATACTTAGATGGATAGTTTTAGTGCAATTAATTATATGTGAAATTTTTGTAATATTCTGTATAATGTAACATGAAAAGCTGAGAGAAATGATGCTCTGTGGGAAATATTATACAGGGGCTCGGTGAGAATATAGGGACAAGTCCATTTAACAATGAGTAAATGACTGTGTCACTAAATTAGGAGATATTGTCAAGTTGGCAATGGTTTTGGTGACTAATTTTTGTCCCCAAAAATGGCATGAAATCACCGAAAGTCACCAACATTTTGGTCTGGTCCCTACATAACTGTTATTGATGCTGTGTAACCGTATTTGGCTCTCATATACCTTCCAGTAATTTTGAGAAGTTCTAGAAATATCTCGGCAGCTAGGTGAAAACTAGATAAGACCAGAAAGTAATGTTTGTAGTAGTTTGAAGCGTTAGTGATTGTACTGTGCGACACTGTGAAGAGTTAGTTGTATGACTGTTTCTGTGGAAAGTTCCAGAACTCTGATCTGTTTCTTTTGATAAAATAAATTTTATCAAGCTAGCATCAATTCTGTCTGCATTCAATCATTACGAACCGATATGCATGCAACAGTATTCATTCATGGAAAGTCATGGATATTTATGAAGCGTGTTAATGAGAGAATTCAATACAAATGTGTTAATGTGGTAATGTGTGTGTTAGTGAATAATTGGTCATCAACTTGTTGTTGACCAATTTTTCGTGAAATAAATACATGAAAGGCAACAGACATTTTTAAAATGGCTGCACTGTAGTAATTTCATAAAATAATTATGAATCAACAACACTAAAAAAAGTAGGGTAAATCTTCTCTGCTATTGTGTAGAACACCCTATTTCTGAAGAATGCAACTCTTTCTTTTTCATCAGACAGCAAATTCTACTGCCCCATTGCAATTTCTTACAAAAAGAACAAAAAATGTTCTCAATGCGAAAGCAAAAATAATTCAGAAAACTGTCTGTCATATTTGATGATGGAAATCTGCTTGTCTGTGGCAGACACCTGGGTTGCCACATAAACGCATATTGGCAATGTCATGGGTTGGGTTTATTTTTCTCAACTGTGTATGTGTTGCCATATGCATGCTTTTTATGGGAGTGTAGGTAATCAGAAAGAATCAGAATTTTTTTATCCTTTGGCTAGCAGGCCAGAAGACAAAGGGGTAGGACCCCTAAAAAAACATAGGTTGCAGTTAACACAGAAAGTTGAATGATAAAAAAAAATATTGCTACTCTTCATCATGAAGCAGATTTCAGTTTCACATGATCAATTGCTTTTCTGAATTTCTTTCTGAGAGAAGACAGTTTTTAAAAACAAATTTTAAGCTCAGTGATTAAAAATTCGTTCCAGAAACTAATCACCTCCAAAGTGGGGGAAATATACAGCAGCAGTTAACTGGATTAATATTTTAATTAAATTAATTGGATTTTTATTTTTATTTTTGGTTTTAGATTTCTGTTATATATACATTATTTTATTAAGAATAGATTAAATTGTAACTATAAGAAATGCAAAATTTCATTATGTTTAATTTTTTTAGAATTATTATGATTCAGGAAGCATAATAAAGTAGATCATGATTACAAAGTTACATCTTTGTGCAAGTATACATCCATATATTTTATCTAAACTAACCATTACCAATTTTACTGTTTGAAATTTTTAACTTTTCTCTTGAATCATAAAAGTGCTATGCTTGTAGCACTGAGTAACTTTCGAGTATGCATATTTCTTGATAATGTTAATATCATTATGTCAATAATACAGTTGGTGGTTTTCAATGTTCCATTCTTCGTCGTAAAATCAACATATAATGTTTTATAGGTAAATATTTAAGACACAATAACATGCTGAATAAATACTATTTCAGAAGTCAAACAACAAAAATCAGCGTTATATTTACAAAATTTTCACAGAACTAGTTTCGATGGTTTTACCGAACCACCATCCTCAGCTGCAAAACCGCAAATGAACAAGATAGGAAATAATGATTAGATAAGATAAGAAAAACCTGGACAAGAATATAGAAGCCTGGACAAGTAATGGTATACAAAATAATTATATATGATGATCTAAAATGTATATCTTAAAATGGCAGTAGAAATTATAAAAACAAAATTAGAAATAATGGAAGCATTTATGAAGAAAGAAGAAAATCAAAATTTTCACACACAGAAAAGGGCCTTTTTATTTATTTGCTTTATTAAACATTTCTTTCAGTGCAAATTGAATTTTTTTATACTAATACTTCCTTTTTAATTTTATAGATAGACATAAATTTCTTATTTACTTACAGAGTTTCAGTCCTGTAATTACCATGTCGAGAATTACCACTAAATTGCAATCATTTTTTTTTTTTTTTTTTTTTTTCATTCTGAGCAACCTCTCTAGTGCTTTCTATAATATTGGTAGCAAAATTTTCTGGATTTGAAACTACTACAGATTTTGTCTCCTTTAGTTGATTGATTATAGGGGCTAGTCATTGCAGTAGAGTATGTATGTTATATCTTCATTTGTTTTTTAGCACAAAAAACATTATGTGCTTTATGCTTTGTTAATAGTTTCCACTGTTTCAGGCTGTTAAATGTTTCATTTGTGGTGATGATCATAATGGAGCAAGATGTAAAAAAAGAATATGTGGCAAGTGTTACTACTTGGGTCATGATACTAGAAGGTGTTGGAAGCAAGATGTTAGTCTTTGCATAATCTGTGGCATGGATGGTCACCATGATACGGTACTGTAATTTGTACTTCCATAATTCTTTTGGCTGTAAAAGGATTGGAAATAGTGTTAATTTCTCTTTAATACATTTAAAATATATGGCATATAATATTGCATTATAAATGTAATTAAAAAATTCTAAATTGAATGAAAATTTTGGGTATTTTTAGATTTCCTTTTGAATGAGCATCTAACAAAAAAAGACTGCGATATTACAAAATGAGAATACTGAAGATAATATACAATGATTGATAATTTTAAAAATAGTTATAGGAAAAGCAAAAATATATTTAGCTTCCTTCACCATATTTTAATTTAACTGTTTATACTATTTGCAAATAATAAACAGGGAACTGAAAATGTAGGCAAAATAATTCTTTATTTATATTTTTCTAAACAAGCATTTTCTCCATTTCTGTGGATTTTTGCATTAAAATAAGTTCAAGATTCACATGTCTCTTAATTGAGTTTCTTTCTTTTTTTTTTTTTTAAATGTGGATTTTTAAGTTTAATCAAAATGTAATTTATTTAAGCCGTGCTTGATTAATTACTACTCATTTGCAGTAGGAGTACGATTGCAGAACTTTTGCATTTATTATTTGCAGTAGAAGCAAGATAAGAAAAATTTTGCTTTTATAAATGAATATACTCAGCACTTATTTAATAATAAATTTGCTATAAAACTATTGTAAATCTATATTTACAATTAAAAATTTAACTTTTATTCTAACATGTAAAGATTTAAATAAAAAAGCTACTAATTGTAAGCATTAGAAATTAATGTGATCTTTCAGTAAATAAACAAACTGGATGCTTAAAATGATTTTGAGCTAAGATTTGGACTTGCTTATTCTCAAAATACTGAAGCTTTCTAAACCCTAGTTACTAGTAATATATCTAATTTTATTTGTTTTTCAATAGTGTTTTTTTTTTTTTTTTTTTTTTTTTTTTTTTTTTTTTATATATTATATATATATATAATATAGAATATATGAAGCACTGCATGTTTCATGTCAGAAAAAAATTTTTCTGAATGTTTTAAACTATTATATTTACTAAATTATATTTCATTTTATAGGAGTGTCCTGATAGTGGAGGCGTTTTCATCTCACTGTAAGTTCAAAAGTTTGTTTTTCCTTTTCTTTTTTACTTATTTATATACATTTTAAAAGTATTAGATATAAGTAAAAAATATGGTTCAAAGCTTTATGTCTAAGTAAATAATGCTTCGGAGATTAATATTTCCTTCTTCAAAAGGCGTAAAACCAGAGGATTTTTTTTCACACAACATTTTAAAAGTAACCAGTTCTTGTCAGTGCAATGAATGGATTTTAAATTACTAATTCATACATTAATCCTTTAAATAAAGAAAGACAGATGTAAAAAAATCAGAGAATTGTGTCAGAATCCAAAACAGGCAATCTCTATTCTTGAATTTTCTAACATCCCATCTCTCTTTATCCGTGATGAAATGAATGGAAAATCCTGTAGAAAAGAACATACATACGAGTATGTCATCAAATTTTATACGTATGAGATGTCTGAGAAAGGTAATTGCAGGCATTATTTTTTTTTTAATATTGTTCAAATTAAAAATTCTGAAAATAAAGCAGAGAATTTTATTGCAACATTTCCAGTAGCGAGACATTTGTGTAAATATAAAAAATATTAATTATTTATTTTGTAAAGCAAAAAGTGCAAGTAATATATTCATTCAGCTTTAATAAATTAGATGTAAAACTTTCATGTCTTAGTGTGCAAAATTCACAGAAATAGTAGTGATTCATAGTCTCGTGAGCACTACTCTAATGCTGCTATTGAATGTCATTAACTAAATACAGAATTTATTAGTTATCAAAATAAGCAACTTAGATTTTGTAATTGTTTTTCTGAATTATGTTGAATATTCTCAAATTTCAGTCACTGCTTGCCATCAGAGAGTGATTCAAGTCAGTATAATTTCATTCTCTGTTTCATCCTTGAATATTACATGCAAAAGTATGGAACTTTTGCTTAATAAAAATTTTACTTATTATGCATTGCTTGATGCGAATTCTCACCTTTATAGAACCCTTCCATCACCACTGCTGAAACAATTTCTGAAGATATACGTTAATTTATATATTCACGTATATCATTTATTGTGTTTTGAAATTTGGCATATTTGTTGAAAGTGATAATAACATCAAATGTGGTTTAGATGTCACTTTGCTAAAATTATTTGAAAGTAGGACCAACGTAAGGAGGTAGGAACAAGGTGCCTTTTTTCCCGCTCTGGCATAATTAAGTTATTAAATTAAGCTTTATCAGTTTATCTAGTCTTAAGAGATGATGTTTACAGTGGTTCCCAAAAGTGTTCATACTTATGATTTTCGTTGAAATAGGGTTCTATCCATTAATTAAAAGTAAACTTTCTGAGATTTTAATAATAAAATTTATAATCTATTCATTACAAAATTACATGAAATATGTTTAAAATGTAGCAAAACTTATTTTTTAAGAAATTAATAATCAAAAAATGACATTTTGTCTCACAAAAGTCTTCATACACTCCAAAAAATCTTGACATATTAGTAAATATTTTCATTTTTCGTTAAATTAATAATCAAGATATCCTTTAGCATCCACAACAGCTTTTATAGCTTTTAAACATCTGGGAATAGATTTTACCAGTTTTTTTGTAATTTCTGTATCAATGTTCATCCATTCTTCCATCATGACTGTTTTGAGTTCACTATTTTTCGTTTTGATTTCATATTTTCATACTTTAACCTCCAGTTCTTTCCAAATGTGTTCCATGGGGTTTAATTCTGGCAACTGAGGTGGTGTTTTCAAAACCTGTGGACAATTATAGAGACACCACAGGCGAACGTTGAGAGCTGTATGCTTAGGATCGTTATGATTAAAAATAAAGTTGGTTCAAATACCCAAATTTTGGGCTGATAATTTTAAATTGTCTTTTAAAATATTTAAATAAGGAGAATGATTCATTATGCCATCAATAAATACCAAATTACCTAGTCCTGATGCTGCCATGCACCCCCACACAAGAACACCTCCACCACTGTTCTTAACTGTTCCAACTAAGTTCTTAGAATGAAGTTCCTCATTTTTTCTTCTCCATACAGTTATTCGACCATCAGAACCAAAAATGCTAAATTTGCTTTCGTCAGCAAATAGGGCATTATTCCAGTATGTTTCGAGTGTATTTATCATTGATTTTGCGAATGAAAGCCTAAGCTTTCTGTTTTTCTCACTAACAAAAACTTTTTTACGGGCAGAATGCCCATATAATCCAGCTTCTCTGAGAACTCATCGAACAGTTTCAGGTGAAATTGAAGTAAGAAACTTTGCATTAAATTCTGCAGAAATTTTTACAGCATTCAAATGTGGGTTTTTCACAAATTTTTTAATAATAAATCTCTTATCAAGTTTAGTTAACTTTATCGTTCGACCTTTTCTTACCTTGTTTTCAATCCAGTTTTCTTCTTTAAAGCATTTTATCACATATTGCACTGTAGAATGGGATAAATTAACTCACTTAGCGATATTTCAAATTGATTTACCACTACTATGGTGAAAAATTATCAATTTTTGAATGCTGTTTGTAATTTTTTTATGACTGCGACGCATTTTTCAGTAATAAATAGAATATTATGAAATAAACAATAAAAAATTAAAGCAAACGATAATTCTAACTTTGATTTTATCCAAAAATATTCGGAAGACTTTTGTGAGATAAAATGTTTGTCATTTTTTTATTATTAATTTCTTAAAAAAAATAAAGTTTTCGCTATATTTAAAAATATTTCATGTAATTTTGTTACGAATAGATTATAGATCTTATTATTAAAATCTCATTCAGAAAGTTTACTTTTAATTAATGAATAGAGCCCTATTTCAATGAAAATCATAAGTGTATGAACACTTTTGGCAGCCACTGTATATTTCAGTGCAATTTTAGCTCATATATGCTCTTTCACCTTTTTATTGACTTCTTTGTTGCCTCTCCCACCTTTTTTTTTTTTAATTCGTCCTTTCTTGACTTGTAATTTAGAATTTCAGATTTCTGAAAATGATTACAACAGCATTCAAACTTGTAATCTATTCATTATCTGAGCTGCTGTCATTTATAGTACTGGAGATCAGCTTTTTTCAAATATGAATTATCTTTATTTTTGAGTTTCAGGTTTTGTAGATCTGCTTGTGAGGAACTATATTTTCTAAGTTTTTATAAACTAGATATATATATGTAATTACCTAGTTTGCTGTTTTTGGTGCTTCACTGTTAAGAGGTATTTTCTTGATTTTAATGTCCAAGTGCCTTTTGTGCTTTATAGATGGATTTATATACTTTTAAGATATTTCCTTAATTTGTTGTTCGTATATCAAGATTCATGCTTTTATACTTTCTTAAAGACATCACGAAAAATATTCTACACCTTACCGATCAGAGGATTAATAAGGTGCCAATTACTAAATATCCACCAAATATGGTAACATATTCATATTGAACAATAACACAGATTCAGAATTCTGCATATTAAATGTATATTATATGTATGATACAATACTGTTATTACATATTAATTTTCTTTATAAAGTTTTGTGTGTAAATAAGTTTGCTGCTATCTAATTAGGTTTTATGCTAACACATACGTTTGCTGCTAAATGGCCACCCCCTCTGTTAACAGAAAAATAAATGCCATATATTCCGGCATATAACGTACACTTTTAATGCAAATAAAAGGGGGAATCGAAATTGACAGGTGTGCATTATATGCTGGATATAAAAATGATAAGTTTAAAAATAAAGAAAAGATGGGCATACAAAAATAAGATTTCTATATGTACACTGCGCAAAAAAGGGGGGGACAGTTCTGTATCCCCCGTTGTACTGGGCTGATTGATGAAATTCAACTTGCATGTTTCATTTCTCGAAAGCATGACTTAGGATATGTATTAGATTTATATATAGCATTGTTCTATTCAGGGCTGTGGAGTTGGTAGGGAAAATGACTGACTCCGCTCCTGGAATTTAAAAGACACCAACTGGACTCCATATATATATATATACACATGTAAACATATACATAACATTGGTTACAGCTTATGTTTTTAATATAAAAGAAGTAATAGATGCTATAGGGAAAAAAATTTATGGCATAGCAAATTATTTATATTAATTAGCATTTATTAGGAAATGGAAAAACTGGCATTACTTATTTCTAAGAAACAGTATATCTTTGGCAAAATCTTGTTTGATGGAGGGCCAAAGATCCGATTTGATAAACTTCAGAGCTGAGAAGAGTCTTTCCACTCTAACTTGAGTAGGAGGAAGCGCTGTTACTGTTAGGGCTACTTTTAACTTTTGAGGATAGATTTTCATAAGTTCTAACAGAGGTGTCTTGCAAGCGTAATCATATTTCTCGATTTCCTGCAGAAATCTTATTTGTATTTTCTATTTTTATATCTAAAACCTCTTGGTTCTTTATTTCCATTTGCTTTGCCTTGGCCTTTTTAATATTATCCAAAAATATTTCTCAAAATCTAATTCATCACTGGAAGCGCATGATAGAGACTCAATTGCAATGTTTGCAAATTGATTGTCTTGATTCAAATTCTTCAATTGTTCTAAGAATAATTTCATTCTTAATGAAAGTTCATAGATGACTTTCTTTGCCTTCTTAATTTGTCATCATCCAACAAAATTCGTGTTTTGGATCTACATAAATTGAATCCAGGAAGATCTTATTGTCTAGCAAACTAGTTTCTCATTTCTTCATTAATGAAATGATTCCTTCTGCAATAAACAATCAATTTCAGAAAGAAAAAAACACCACAATCTTCCATTCTCGCCTCCTAAATTTTTCAGATTGCAGTATTTTTTTTTTTTTTTTTTTTTTTTTGTGGCGCTATAAGGTGTAGAAAGAAGAGTTTCCAATTCTGGAAAGATCATTCCAGTCTTTCTGATAATGAAACATTAGGGTTATCTACATCTTCTAAAAAAGTTCTTGATTCTAATAACCTCTTTATCATCAAATATGTACTTCCTTATTGCATTGTTTGATCAATAATTGCTCCTTTTCCTGCTCGCTTCCTAAGAATGGCTTCAATTTTGGGAGTTCTTACTGCTAACCTAAATTTACCAGTGAGATTTGTAACTGAATGAATCGGTTTAATTACTAAAGGCAAATATTACATCCATCCTCCTCTCGTATATTTATTTATTAATAAGTCAATACAATAGAAAATAACTATTTAATGTATTTAGTTCATAAATAAAAATAATGACTCAGGTTGTCATTATTTTTTTATAATTCATTTTAATTTCATTTCAAATTCAAACTGTCCAACAAAAACTGAAGTCAGGGTAGACCTGTTTCAAGTTCTGAGTCCTTTCACCCCCAAATCTGCCCGATTCCGAAGCCATGACTCCGACTCCACAGCCTTGGTTGTAATATCGATTTTTTGACACAAAATCAGCTTTTTCTGAAATAACATGCCAATTTTTTTCCATGTTTCAATTCTACGACTCAAATTATGCCGAAACTTCCAAGTTTTGTAAAAATCGCACGAGTAGTTTTTAAAAAATTAGCTCTCAAAATTTTAGCGAATGTTAATTGAGTTGGGTATATATTTATTAATCTCTCTTTTTCTATTAAACTTATTTGATTCTCACATTTCGAAATTCAGGTTCATTCCCAATAAAATTCTCTCATTTTTTTATTATTTACTTTTAAAATTTATATTTTAAAATAATTTTTATAAATTTTTTAAAAAAATGATTTATAATCTATAAAATTTTTACCGTGTTAAAGTAGACATATTTCTAAGTATACCTGTAAAAAATTGTAGTTTTTATTCAAAATTTCCAAAGATATATGTCAATTTATATATTGGCTTGTTTTGAAATTTGGCATATTTGTTGAAAGCGATAAAACATCAAAGGTGGTTTAGACACTTTGCTAAAATTATTTGAAGGTAGGAAGAATGTGACTTTTTTCCCTCCCATGCACAATGTAAAAAGATAGGAGCAAAGTGCCTTTTTTTTTTTTTTTTTTTTTTTCCCACTCTGGCATAATGAAAAGCAAAGGAGAATTGGTTGTCATATATTAAGAAGTTCACCAAGTGAATTATTCTTGGCGCAAACTGAAAAAATTGATCCAAGAAAATTTTTGAATTTTTCTGCAAATTTCAAACCAAATTTACAAAATTTAATATCTAGGCATAATCTGAGTCATAGAATTGAAATATGGAAAAAATTGGTATGTTATTTCAGAAAAAGTCCGATTTTGTGTCAAAATACCTATGTTAGAACAATGCTATACATAAATCTAATATATATCCTAAGTCGCGCTTTCGAGACATGAAGAACGTAATTTGAATTTTGTCAATTGGCTCAGTAGAACGGGAGAAATAGAACTGGCCCCCCATTTGGGGATAGGGTGCAGTGTACGTACATACATTCATGCATTTCTGAGTCCGGTCCCAATAACAGAACAGTACCTTTAAAACATCATAAATATTGCTGAGGGCAGGCACTTTTATTCTAAAATACTCTGTTCTAAATACGAGAATATTTAATTTTAGTCATTGTTAAACAACTGTTTTTATCATCAAATAATTCACTGAAGAGTGCATTCGGCTATCATGTGTATTAGATTTAAAAAAGTCAAGTGTTGGGAAAAAGTGTGCAAGTATATGGTAAATGATGGACAAATACTTTTAGTGGTTTCAGTACTTTAACATGGAAACGTTAGCTTAAAAAACTTCACTTAGTCCTTTTTTTTTTTTTTTTTCTGTGTGAAGAATGTTAATTTGGTGTTATAATAATTAATGACTTTTGTAATTCTATAACTAAAAATTTCATTCATTACTGATATTGATTTTCTCTCATAGACAAAACCCACTGGACTTGTAGAAGGAAAACAGCTAATTCAAGATACTCCAATTTATTGCTTCAATTGTGGGCATCAAGGACATTTTGGTGCTGTATGTACTTTTCCTTTAATTTAGCTTATGTTGTTGAGTCTAGTTGAAATATATTATTTTTGCATTAAATTTTTTTAATTTGTAATTTAAATTCTTGGCCAAGGGAATAAATTTTTGCTATGAACAAGCTTATTTTAGAATGATCCCACAATATTATATTCTGTATATATGTTTTTGTTGCACATTGGAATTTCTATTCAACTTGTAAATTTATTTTTTGTCAGAGACATTTGGTTGTTGATTTTTTTTTTTTTTTCGTAGTCAGTTTTTGTTTAAATTTTCATTGTTACTTCCTTGTATGAAGTAAAGGGTGTATTGTAGTCGCGAAAATTTTCGGGTGTCATATTTCAACAAAAATGTACATTTTGACTGCCATCAAATGCAATTGAACGATGTTTTTGCCTGTATGTAAGGACAGAAAAAAGGATTCTTTTTCCCCAAAACGGGTTGCAAAAAGGATTAAAATAAATTTTAAAGAGATATTTTTGGTGATGTATATATGTATTTTGCATAACTCAAAATCAAGTAGCCTCAGAATGTTGAAATTTTGTATATAGGGCTGTTTTAGTAGTTGTACACCTCCCTTTTTGGTTGCCATCGGCCGCACCTAAAATAAATATATATATATATATACACACACACTCTGTTACTCAGCTCTGTGAGCACTTTTTTTTTATTCTTATATGTTGGTAAATTGTGCATTTTTTTGCTTTAAAAATGATTGAATTATGTTGTTCTTATCTTCCAGTTAAGACTTGTATGCCTTCAGTTAATCTACGAGCAATAGTTGTAGAATTGTCAACAATTTAAATGTTGTTCAAGTGCTGCTAAGCCTATGTTTTTACCATAACAGCCATATGTTGAAACTTAGCAGAATAGTGAATCAGTTTTTGCGCCTTTAGTGTCTTTTTGCCGAGTGGGATCAAAAGGAAACCGAAAGTGTGCACCGAAAAAGCTGCCATTTTGCCCGTTGGCTGAATTGCTTGTTTTTGTATTAGCCCAAAGCGGCAATTTGTCCAGAAGGGCTATTAATTTTGTTTTGGCATTTTGCATCGATTCACTTTTGAAATTGTTAAAATAAAATTATCTTGCATTTGGAATCGTCTGATATCTTTTTCCCAGCAGGCCTTGCAATAAATGTTTATGTAAACAAATATTTAGAATTCGAAATGTCACGGATATGCTTGCTAGGTTAGTTCATTTCTTCCTTCAGATTACCTGATCGATTATACTTGGATTATATTTCAGTCTAATATGTTTATGTGTGAGATGTGTTGTGAATAAAAATAAGAAAAACTTGGACAACATAGTCTTCATACGTAAAGCACATTTATTCTTGGTACTTTTCCATTTTGCTGGCGCAGGAGATAAAGTCGCCAAAAATGGTGCAACCAATGTCAAATGGAATATTGTTGCTGATTACCTTTTGAACTTAATTTTTAAAACAAGTCATAGCCATTTCTTATCAGATTGATTGTTTTTTTCAATACTGGCATACAATTACATAAAATTTTTATGAGATAGTTCAATTTTATGCCCTAAGGCCATTCGTGGTAATTAAGTCAATTAGGATGCAATCACATTGCTCATCCGAAGGCGAAAATATAGAAAAGACACAGTCAAGGGTTAAATTCATTAATTCTAATGAGAATGCACTAGTGAAGACTGCAGTTTTACATAATTTCTGAGTAAGCTATTCATACGAATTGAAATAATTCTTGCATTTAAACTTGTATTCTATATTAAGATTTAACTTTAAATTAATGTAGATAATTACTGAGAGAATTAGATTTTTGTAGTGCAGTTTATGTCAGATGAGATCACTAGGGGTTACGTGATATTAACCGGCGATTCAGGGTGTTGTACCATGAAAGCATAGTAAATTCTTAAATGAATGTCTTTTTACACAATTGTAAATGATATTAAAATGTTTATGCCTTCAAAATAAAAAATTCTTAGAACTAACATTTTTTATGTGTATACTGTCTGTTGTTGCCAATAAGGTCTGATTGGCGAGATTTGCGCCGGCGAAATGGAAAGGACCTTATTCTTTAGTGTGATTTAACATTATTATTATAATTTTTGATATTGTCGCTGAATTGAATTTTATGGTTTAAGTGCAAAGAACATGATATTTAATAAATAAAGGTAACACACAAAATGTTAAAAAAAAGGACTTTTGGGCATAATATAAAATCTGTAAATGCAGATTTTTTTTCATATTTTTCTATATTTTAAATTTTTAATAAAGATATTTGAGGTTTTATGTATTTTTGCTTTTTCGTGAAGTGAGAACTGAATTAATTGAATGAGAAATTTATCCCTAATAAAATTCGAGGAAATTTAAATAACATGCAGCAAAAGATGCATAAAATTTAATATTCTGTACAAGGAAGTCATTTGGTGTACACATCAGGTTTTTTAAGAATTGTGATAATTATTTGCATTACAGTATGTATATATCAATGCAACTGCTTAGCACAATCTGAAGGGTTTTTTTAATAGATGAAAGGTAAAAATTACTTATCGGGTGCAAGTTTGGGAATTTTGCGCCTCCCCTTTTTTTATATTTCCAGACTGTTGATATTTATTGTAAATCGGCAGACATTATCAACATATCAAAACGAAACACACTATAAATATTTTAAATGCAAATTTTATTTATTAAATTAGAATTATGTGATCTATAAAAAAATAAACACTTTTTCCATGAAATCCTTCTCTAATTTTTAGCATTGTTCTCCCGATGTACACAGCATTCTATTTTGATCTAAAAGAGTCAGAGATTTGCCCAAACTTGACACTACACACCACTTATTTACCAAACACATCTCCTGGTTGTTTTCTTTAGGGATTTCATGGCAAAATACATTTTCATGCAGAAATTTTAACACAGTTTCTTTCATTCTTGGTATATTCATTCCCCAAGCGATATTTTATAATTATGATATTATATAGTTGTATTATTTTCTAATTATTTAAGTTTATGGAGGGAGAATATCACAATTTGTGTATAAAAACTGTTGAAGCTTGGAATACAACAAAAACCCATATGAAAATAGTGACTCTGTTTGACTGAAGGATTGTTATGCCAGATTTTGACACATTATAAAAATTTGCCACTTCTTCAAAATTTGTTGCAATAATATGCAAGTGCCTGTATTACTTAAACCTCCGAAGGTTTTGAAAGAGATAAGGTATTGTTTTGTAAAGCTTCAGCAGCTTTGTCAATGGAGCTTTTGGAAAGTGTGGAATGTTTTATTTACTGAACCCACCGAAAGCGTTAAGCAGTTTTTCTCTACCTCCCACACCTGCAGAGAATGATACAGATGAACTAATTAGTGTCGGCTGTAAAAATATCAATCACTGTCATAACTTTACCCTTCAGGAGTTATGAAGAAGTAGAGCGCTTCGAAAGTTATCTGACTTGTAACAGTAATTGTTCGCTTTATGTTATGGATTTTATTATCAAATAAAAAATTTGAGGGAAACTGAAAATCAAGACCTTGAAAGAAAAAAATTATAAATGTTTAATTTTTTTGTGTCCATAAACCTCCATTTTTATGTATGTATATATATATATATATATATACATGTGTGTGTGCGTGTTTATATATATATATATATTTAAATTTTTATGGACAATGAATGTGCATACGGCCGTAATATCAAAATATTTTTATGTTTCTAATACCCCTTCACTTTAGTTGTTGAATTTACCTCTTATATAAGATGGCTTGCCTAGGATAAAAGGAATGTTTTCTCGCTGAAGCAATATGATTTTCGATAGTTCCCAAGATAGTTTCCTTTTTTCAATAAAATAAAATAGAAAATTTCTTATTCTATTTCCAACTTTTTTTTTATAAATTTTATTTTGTATTTTTGATCCAGAGTTTATTTGAAGCTACGGATATAAATAATATTCCACAGTTTATTTGATATAATGACAGAACTAATTAACTGAATATGAAGTAAAAAACTTGTTTATTTGCTAATCATAATTACAGACCTCTAAGTTTTTGTCATGGAATTTTCCTCTTTTGTGTATAGCCATAAGTAAGGAAGCTGCGAGTTTATTAATTGTGCCATAATGATACTGTTTTCTTTAAAATCTAAGAAAATATCAGTATATTTTACTATTCAACTACTTATTTTTGAGGGGTGGCTAAGAGCAAATAAACAGGTGCCCTTCGAAATCTTTGTGTTGAAAAAATATAAGAGCATTAATGAAAAAAAGACATCAGATTTTTATGGATTGATTCGCATGGTTTTATTAATCTCTATTCCTATAATTCTTTCTCTTTCTATATACTTGTATATAGAAAGAAACAGAGACACTAGTCTAATGCTCATGATGCTTACTTATTTTTTTAATTTTATTTAATTTGATTATGGCAAAACCCTCAAAGGTTATCTGCCTAAGGGTAGGGATGTCTTCATGGAGGAATTTCTGAGGGAAACTGTTTCGTATACGTGTTACACGTGGGGAAAATAAAAACGGCTACGCAGTGAGCTCTTTTGTTGAAAATCGAATCCTGGGCCGAATTATCAGTGTTCAGAGACTTTATTGCTCGTTCACTGATGAGCCAACACTCTTGATGCGTTTTATGGAATATAAGTTTTGTATGTGCAGTCGGAAAATTGAAAATATTTTGTTCAAAATATTATAGCTAAATAGAGGTAATGCATAGTTTTACTAAACATTTTCTATCAGTATTACTTTCAATGTAAGTTACCTAATACAGAAACATAAAGTTTTATAAATATTTTATAAATATTGGTTTTCGATATAATGAATTAAGATTTCCCAGAATTCAATACATTTTTAAATTTTATTTTTCAGTATAATAATATGCAGTTATTTTTAAAGGGTGTAAATGGTGAAAGTTTGGAGATATGAAAAGAAAAAAAAAATTGTTTGCACTCAAAAAAATGCAAATGATAACAGATTTTAAAATAAAATTGTGTAGAACTGATCATGATTAAATTAAACTTCCTTC